GAGAAAAAATGAAAGAGCAGAGAGGGGGATTGCGGGCCTGAGGCTTGGGGTTGGGTTCTTATTAGAAATGAAGGAGAAAATATGTCGATTCGCCGTCGGTCATCGAGCACGTGTTTCGTCTGGAGAGGCTGCTCGCTAGCGCCCCGGGGCTGACACCGTCGCGGAAGCGCCAGCGCGCCCTCCTTCCCTTCCCCCAGCCTTGGGCGCTCCCACCTTCGCCCCGTCCGGACCCATCAGTAGCCCTCCTTTAATTCTGTGGAACAGCGGCTGCTGGCGCGAGGAGGGGACAGGGCGGGGCGGGCGGGGCCCAGAGCAGCCAGGGGGTGAAGCGATGCCAATCGTAACTCGGTCACGTCTGTCTACCACTACTCCCAGCAACAGCTGCGGTCGCTTAACGACACAATTTCTGCGTCCTTCCTTTCTCCCCGCATCTTCGCTCTCCCTCTCTTGGTCACTCTCCCCCATCTCTCACTCACTCTCTCTCTCCCCTCCGTCCCGACTTCCCGCGGGCGCTATACCGCGCCGGCCGCTCTCCTTCGCTCTCGTCGCCGCACCCCGTAGGCTTCCCGTCCGATGCGGACTTACTTCTCTCCTCCTGCCACCCTTCTAAAATCATGGCGCCGTACCATGGCGAAAAGAAACGGAAGCGACGGTGGCGGGGAAGGGAAAGAAGTCAGGGCGAAATCAAAAGTGCTTTTTCATCTACGCTGCCCTGCCGGCCCTGCCCGGCCCTGCCGGCCCTGCCCTCGGGTCAGTCTCTCAGCCGCACTCTCATTATCCCTCTCGCCGGGCGGATTAGAATAAATCTTGGCCCACCTGTTAATGATAGCGATGATATAAACTCAAGTATACGCCCACTCAGTAGCCCCTCTCGCAAATCGCTAAACCGTATTGCGTGTCGGCTGCCTGTGATTACCGGCAACTATAAATTTTGTTTTAATTAGAGGAGTACGTGTCTATGTCTCTCCTTGTCTCCGCCCCTTCAGCTGCCATTCCCGGCGAGCCACCGCTCAGGCCGCCTACCAGCAGCAGCCCCCCCTCCCCCCCCCCCTCCCTCGGTCTCGGCGAGCACCACCCCGCCACCGTTTTTGCAGGGTATTTATTTAACCACCTTTGCCATTCGGTATGAATATCGGGCGCAATTATTTTCAATCGCTTTAGCCCTTACATATTTCCATTATGAACGTTTTAATCTGGGCGGGCGAGCTGTTGTTTGGCGCACTAGCGCTCCTGGCGGAGGCATCCCGAGGCACGTACGCTATGAATGAAATATGGAGACATACGGCTCGGGCCCGGAGGGCGGGGTTGCGTCCAGAGAAAACGTAGGACCGGAGGTCTAGGGGTGTGGGGGAGGGGGGAGGGGGTGGGGCGGCGATATCCCCGTCCTAGGATGGGACTGAATGCATAATCAAAGAAAATTGCCGCTTCTCACGCGAAGCGTCAACTTTTGTTTAAGACGGGAGCGAAATTCACTCGTCTGCCAGTCTGTTTGGCCTCCGGCGCTTCGCCCCCCACGCCCTCGCCACCCTCGCGCGGGCGTAGTCCACGCGTCCCTGGACGAGCCCCTGGCCCTCAAATCCTAATTAAATGCTATAAATAATTCGTCGCTCCCGGAGGGAGACAGTAGTACAGACCTTTCCTTTCTGTGCGAGCGCTCTTTGCGTGCGGCGCTGCTCTTGGTCTGGAGCGGACGGGACGCACCGGCGGCGGCGCTGGCGGGACCGCGACGCACCGGCCAGAGGTCGTGTCCAACTGGACTCCGATCGCGTCGAGTGGCTGTCACTTTGTCTGTAGCCACGAGCAGCGCGTTGTCGCCCCTGTGTAACCTCTAACCTCCTCGGCCGCCTGCAGTGGGAGAGTGTCTTTTCGAATTAACATCTCATTTGTAGATCGTGAGGCTTTGCCCGGTACCGCCGCCGCCGCCGCGCTATGCAAAGTGCGCTATGCCCGCAGAGAGAGAGAGAGAGAGAGACTCGAACACGGTTAGAAGTAGAGAAGGAGTGAGGAGTGAGGTCGCATTTGCCGGGACATATTGGTGCACCCCACCTGCTGGTGACCCCACGCCCCGGCCCATAGCCCGGCCGGCACCCCCCTCCCCGCCTCCCGACGCCACTCTTTTGCTGACCTCCACCTCTTCCACCCCTTTCTCTGCAGCCTCAACCCCTTCCCGCTCGTCTCCCGCAGTATGTCTATTGATTTTGTCTTGTCTTTCGGTGACGGGCCGTCTGCGTCTGTCTGACCGGCCGGGGCGGGGGTGGAGTGCAAGGGGCGGGGAGGGGGAGGGTCCGGGTCAGGGAGTGGGAGGGGGACGCGACCGGGACGGGGAGGAGGGAGAGAGAGAGAGAAGGAGAGGCAGGATGGCAGTGGGACGGAGAGGGGCGAATCTTGAGACAATGGACGTAATTAACGTTGCACAGGAGATGAAAGACGTCTGTCCCTGCTTTGCCGCACAGGAGGGGAGGTCCCTGCAACACTGCGCCTGACAGCCCAGGAGTCGTGCGGCAGCGGCGTCTTACGCGGGCAGCCTGGAGAACGGAAAGAGGTGGACGGGGGTGGGGGGTGAATAGGACGGCAGGGCTGCGGCGTAAAAACGCAACAATCTGCAACAGTGAGTACCGTGCGTCTGTTTGCGGTCGGCGCGGCCCCGGGCGCGCACGTCCCCCTGCACAGCGCGGGGCGAGGCGCCCCCTCCTGACAAGTGTTTCCCTTAGGTTAGTGCGCGCTTATTGCCCCGTGGGCTGGACCGAGCCGGACGTCCCTTTTTGTCGTCTGCTTTGTACACCGCCACTAACGTCCTATTTTTGCCTCCCCGGTGGTGTACACTTGTCAAGGTGCGGGGGCCCGGCGGGACTCAGGCGCGCGCGCGCGCACAAGCTTTGTATTCAAACGGCGCAAACGGGGGCCGGGCCGGGCCGGGCGGGCGGGCGGTCAAACGTCGGCGCCGGCCGCGTCTCTGTCCGGGGCGTGCACCACCACTACAGCGGCGGGCAGGACGCGGCGCGCGGAGACTTGCGGCCGCTGTCCCCCCGAGGCCCGGCCCGGCCCGCCCGGCCCCGGCGTGGTCCCGACGCCCCCCGAGGCCCCCGTGGGGGTGACCGGGCCGGGCCCCTTTGTGTGTCTCTTTGTGGAACTAACCTGGACACCTGTACTTAATTTTCGTCGCCGCGCGGTTCCATTAAATAGTCAGCTGGCGGGGCTGGGCGGGGCCACCCCTCTCCTACATTCCCTCAGTGGACAGCACGACACGACCGGTGCCGCACCGCCGCAACTCGTTCGAGACGAAATAATTCCACGTGTTTCCCTGCCTGCGTTGCTTTGCGAAAAAATAAATTTCGTTCGTAGATGTTAAGGGTCGCGATTGTCGCGGAACAGACTTCGCATTCTACTTCCAGGAGTGAAGGGTGACTCGGTGATGCAATGTGTACTCTGGACTAGATTACCAAATATGAATCCCTGTTATTACATTTACCAAATAAGATGACACTGAAAACCTTTCAGTGAGGTGTCTTGCTCGAAATGCGTGGGCCATTTTGGCCTCGCTCAAGCAGAGCGATGACTATAAGGCTCACCCTATTTGAGTCTATAGAGGGGACCTTCCTCGAACCGCCGAGGCTTCCCGCGACGCGGTAAGTACCCGCGTTTCGGAGAAAACTGGTAAAATATTGGACGCGGTGGTGTCCAGCGGGCGTCTCGTTGCCTCTCCATTAAGCCCTTCTCTCGTGCTCTGGAGGAGCAAGATTCCCCTCCCTCACCTCGCCCAATTGCAGTGAGGTACCCCACTCTCATTGGGTGAGGAGCGCAAATTATGTCTCAAATTGAGTGAGAGTCAGATATCTCGCTCTCAGGAGAGTAAGATATCTGACTCTGGCATTTTCAGTGGACCGATGGATACTACGTAGGATTTCGGCTACCTATGCAGCAAGTCTGAACTGCCATTTTTAGCTGCGAGAAAAATGCATTGTTGTGAACATCTTCTAACAGCT